TAAAATAATTAAAATAATAAATTAAATATATTTTTTTCTTTTTTCGTGATTTCCTGCGAAACAAAGCAAAAAGGAGCATATGTCTATAGGACTTTTTTTCTTAGTTTTTTACTCCTCTACACGCTCCCGAAGTTTTGCCATTTAATTTGGAAACACCCTGTATATATAATATTTACAAGAGAAATACAAATATTTATATATTCAAATGTTATAATTATATAACTGACAAATAAGGAAATTTTATACACGAAATTCTATTTATACAGAGAATTTTCTTGGGAGCTATATAATTTATGATGAAATAATTACGTACTTCACAATAATCTATAAAAATATTTACATTCCAATATATAACGATATAATTATATTATAAATTACCACTAAGTAATCGCCGTATTTTTTGATCATTTTTCATAATTTGCGCCTTTACTTGACGTATCTTATCTAATTGAACTTTCATGTTGCTATCAATTTCTTTCAATGTCTCCTTCATAGGTTCTATCATTTCTTCCGTTTCTCTAAAAAAAATATTTCCATATTAATTTTCAGAATAAAGAATTATTCGAATCATTTACTCCGAAATAAAGATTATTAGAATTGTTTATTGTCAATTTTATATACTTGTTATGTATATACTTTTATACATACTTTTGTTCTTCTTCCAGTTGTTCGCTTAATTGGCGATATTGATTTCTCCAATCCAATAATTCTTTCTCCATCATTTCTACGTCTTCCTAATTAAATTTAATTTCGTAAACAGATATTGATAGTATAAGAATGTGTGTGAATGTATATATATTACCTGTACATAATCCAGCAATTTTCCCAAAGGATTTGTCGTTCGCGTTAATGTTTGTATAGTTCCGCGTAATTTATCGATTTCTTTAGCTGCTGTTTCTCGGTCACGTTTCGAACCTGATTCCCACGCCTAGATCAAAATGCATTTATTCAATGATAATTTACTCAACGTTTTGTGATAAAATTACTGCAGTAAAAATCAATAGGGCACAAAAATAGATGTAACAGTAACACATTCTAATTCTTACGATATCAACTTTCTTCGGCAATACATCGACATTGTCCGTGTTGACTAATTCTCTCTGGGTTTCTAAGATTTGAGCCACAAGATGCCCATGTTCTTGCATCAATTGATTGTCTATCTTATAATCTCCGTTCTCTAAAAGATCACCACCACTTCCTTTTGCTTCCATCACTACCATATCTTCCGCGTCATCGTCATCATCGTCCTTCAAGTCGGAATTCTCTACGATAACGCTGATATTTCCTAATGGTGTTCTACAGTCGTATTTTGAAATTACTTATAATAATTCTTCGTTTAAATTATTATTATAAATTTATAATCTTACTGTATTTCTTCATTGACTATCATCTCTGTCTTTGCTCTCATTCTGGGAGCTGCCGGCCTAGCACTGATAGGTCTGGCACTAGGTGGTCTTAAAGATGTTTTAGGTCTCGCATTCGGTTGTTGTGAAACGCTAAAACAAAACTTGAATTTAATATTCCTATCATACTTCGTTATCAACAATGAACTTATAGAACTGAATATTACGTCATTTCAGTAGCTTCAGTTTGAGATCCTATAAGCTCTGACGTTGGTTGATCACTTCTTTCAACACTTTGTTGTAACGCATTGTCCTCTTCTATTCCATTTTCCTTAATTCCTTTAGTATAATTACTCATTACTGGTTTATTTTCATTATTAGATATCTGTAAAGATATATTTTCTATTTTTTCTTGTGACCTATTCACTTGTGTCAAGCGTTTTTCTCTACCGGAGGCACTTCTATATTGTACCTGTTCTTCTTTCGTCAGATCATTAGTGTCTGCTAAAATCGTGGCATCCCGCTTCACTTTGGCGGACGAAGAGGGTCTTCTTCTTTGCGCCGAAGTAGGAACTTTATTCTGAACTGGCTGTGAATACAATAAAAGATATATTTTAAATGTGTGAGTATATGTTAAAGCACATACTTGAGAAAGAATAAAAAAAATAGAATTGTAATTTTTTCTTTAACAAATATTTGTTTTAAAAGCTGTATTGTTCAAATCAGTGATATGCAACCTGCGGCACATTTGTAAGTTTTTCTACAGTTTGTCGATTCAGCTGAAAATATGAATATTCTTTATTTTATACAAATGAAATAAACATTATGTAACCCAAAAGATTTTATCTATTTCTAAAAGTGGCCTTTTGAAAATGATCCTTAAAAAAGATTGCGTATCACTGATTCAAACGCTATGTGACGTTTTTCTTTGAATTTTTACTTCAGCTGGTGGGATATCTATGACTTCAATATTCTTCGAATTTTCCTCCTTCCAATCATTCCCTTTTTTTGCTTTGCTCTCTTCAGTTCTGTCATCTTTATCTCGCTTTACTTCGCCTGATGCTACTTTTCCTGTGCTAGATGACCTTTTCTTTCGCTCCGCCGAGATCTTATCTTTCTCCGATGATTTCCTCGTTTGCGAAGACTGTCTCGATGCAGGCTTCTTCGAAGTTTCCTCTTTAATTGTGGATCTTGACTTCGATCCCTTTACTTTTTTTTCTAAGTTCTTTTTGTAGTGATCAATCGCCTCCTTACTACTGATCTAAGTAAATAAATGCACTATTAATTTACTTTAAAAGTGATTTTCTACCTAAACAGCAAAATGTATTACTTTCTTATCAAGGGCTTTTCCAATGGCCTGCAACAGCTGATTTGTCTTTGTAGGCTCTTGACCAGAGATGATTTTACTTGCTCTGACCATTAAATTAGCACCCGAGATTAATTCTAATACACATAATATTCATATAATATATTTAGATATCATATATATAGTGATAGAACATGACAGCTCAGTAAAATTAAATACTCACTGACGACATCAATGAGTTTTGTCAAGAAAATGAGCTTAGCTTCTTTGTCCTTTATATTATCAGAATTTAGCTCTTCTTCGCTAAATAATCCTTCTAAGAAACCAGTTTCTTTAATGATCTGAAATCAGTTTTCAGCTACATATAGTATTATGTTATATTTTAAATGTAAGCAGGACTTTTATATAACCATATATTCTGGATAAATTTAAACAATTTTTAAAAAAGAATCAAAGAACATATTTCAGTATCTAAAATTATGCACAAGTGACAAATTACAGCTGTTATAATATCGTGGAGGAAGCGAAACGGCGGCTTGCGGAGTAGTTTCTCGGTCAGTGGCGGCTTCTTGAAATATTTTCCGAGTAAATCCTGTGTTTTCTTTATCACCTCGGGTCGCACCTCGTCCGTCATTGCAATAATTATTTTCCTTTTCTTTCTAAATTCTGTCTAATGATTGACACATATGTACGTACTCTTTACATACAACACTTGCGGCGATTCAATGCAATTCAATGTAATGTCAAACCGTTGCCAGGCAACGCCGAACACATATAACACGTGACACCGCACGTGGGTACCCACATCACGTGATGACCACGTGATCATGCGCTAATTGTATTTAGGTATTTTTACAACACGTACAGGGATTTTAGTGACTAGGGAGAATATTGCTATGGCCCTACTGCTTTATTTCGACCAATTGTGACATTCGCGACACTGCGCATTGCGTAATGTTTTTATCGAAGTGAAGAGAAGTGAATGTGCGAGGAGGTTATCCTATGAGGATGAGTATCTTGAATTTGCTGCCTGCTTTATCACGGTAATTACATTTTAATTAATAATGTTAATCTAAATTTAGCGTTGAAATAAATTATTATCTAAGTAATAATTTAACTAATTGAGCTTTGATAAGAGAATTGCATTGTCAATGTGACTGTAAATTGTACATTACCTTTGTAAGTTTGACAGGACTCCCACGAAAATTGATCTGCCCTTTTCCTTTCAGACTGTCGGTGCGCGCTATACCTGGTGTACGAAACATCTCAGCATGTACCGATCCACTGTACTTCAGAGTCAGCAGTGTACTTTTGTAAGTTACCATTGTAAATTTCTTGCAGTATCTATTGTATACATTAGGTCTATTCGCGTTGCTTGAAATCCTCAAAAATGTTTGTCCTCAAAGTGAGATAAATAGATATTCAGACGTTGAAGAGAGAGAAAGAGAAGATGCTCTGAGTTCAAAAAGTGCAAGCAACGCGAACAGACCTATTATAGCACAATTATACAAGCACATTATAATCCTCTTTTATTTATTCTATAGAGGAGAACCATTGAAGAAAAAAAAGAGAATAGATCCTGCGATTATCAGGGCACGAGAAGATAGAAGACGAAGAAAGTTAGAAAAACAAATTCGTAGATTGCAAAAGCTATCTAAGCAACTGAAGCCAATCAGCGAGATAGAAGTGCCATCAAAATTAATAGAGGAAAAGGAGTAAGTTTTCTATACAAACAAATTATACGCAGGACAAATTAATGATTAATTTTATAATGTTCTTACTGCGATTTATTAACTGAAAACTGATTTCAGACAAAGATTGCGAAAACTTCCACCGATATCAGAAGAGGAAATGGATTCTAGAATTTTATTGCAAAAGGATTGGAATAGATACAAAACTAAACAGCATTTAGCTAATATTCAGACAATAGATTCTATCTTTTATTCGCAGCAAAAGGCACTTGATGAGCTGAGAGCGGAATCAGAAGATTTGTATCAAGAAGCAATACAAGTAATTAATTATTTAATTTACTCAAGAAATTAAACTGAGCATGATTATTTTTATGCTATAATTGTAAGCAATTTTACATAAAAATCTATTACAGCATGATTTAAATTCGTGCATCTGTGTATGTTTTAGCTGGATTTAGGGCTTTTACCATATACAGCGAAAGGTCCGTTAAAAACGCCTCCAATAGAAAATTACGATAATCCCGATGGAGAATATACAAACACCACTCGGAAATTTGATGGAGAAGAATGAGCGTTTGATGCTGCAAAAGGGGATTTTTACATCAAAGAATACAATTAAAAATTAAGAATACAAATAAAACATGTATTTCAAGCTCAAAATCTGGCTTTGTACATTTAATATTTAATAATATTACATGAATCTAATAGAATATAGAAAGCGATAGAAGCAAATAAATATTTTAATGTATAGAGGACAAAATATTTTCTTTTTTTCTTCAAGAAGAAAATTTACTGTTTAAGTAAGCGACAAATTATTTTTAAAAAGCGTATATCAGATATAAGAGTTTCAATGGAACATAAGAACTTATTTTATCTGCCATAACTCCTGAGAAAATGAAGCTTTGCTAGAGACTAGAATTTATTTTGAATATGAAAATTAAAACTTACTCTACAGAGAAATCTTTTAATACTATTTGATTTCTTAATTGCACATTATCATACGACTCTTGAAGCTTACTTCATTACAGTTTCTAAGAAACAAATTGTAGCGTACAAAACTGCACTATTTTAAATTCTATTTACTCTATCGACAATTTGTTGCAAAACAATTTTCCATATTTAAGATTGCAATAAGCTGTTTAGATATATAAAAAGAAAAGTGGGGTTTTACACAATTCGTGCAAAACGCAACGAAAAGAGTGTTTTACAAATATACGTATAAACAACGCAGTTCACAGTTTTCCTCGATGGGCATTATATTAATAATATAACGAGAAATAGATACCCTGGTGAAAAAATTCTCATAATATCTCATAACATTTTTGAGAATTGGTCACATTTTTTTAATTTGTGATTTCTGAAAAAGTACCTTAAACTTCAAATTTTATAAGTTTTCTCCAGAAATTATAGAATGAGAAATCCTACAAATATCATAATATGTATTTCAGATATTCACAAATCTCAGAATATAGATTTTAAAAAATTCACATAGATGAAAAATTTTTAAAAAATTTAGGCTTTCTCAATATTTTTGAAAAATGTTCCAATTCATATATATAAAAAATTTAAGAAAAAAAAATTTTCTAAAAATATAAAATTATGTAGAAATTTTAAATAATTCTGATATTTACATAAAGATTCTAAAAAATTATATGAAGAATTCTAAGAAACATTTTTACCAGGATAGTAATATAAAATAAGCGTATTTCCATTCGCCAGTTATATTAAAGTTATGAATTACGTGTTGGTCACGAATTAACCGACATGACAGTAAAGTTATCTCCGATATAATCCTAACAATAAGCTACAGTGCTGCAGATCTATATCACAGTAAATATATCTAAAGGAACATGCATTCCATGCGTTGCGAATATTATCGATGTTCCACAGTATCGCAAATTCTTTCTCCTTTTGTTGATTCTTTTCGAATAATACAAGTCAAAGATCAAGTATAAGATTTTCATTTTGGATCTTCCCTAAAGCTCTTTTTTTTTTAATCTTTTATAAATGAAAAGGATTTACGCCGTAAATCCTTTCGATGCCAATGAAGTCGTAAATCCAAATGTATAAAAGACGCTGTAAATCTTCCATACGCGAAATGTCATCTATATACGTCTCTCTTCTCTTCATCTTCTTCAACGGCGCGTTTTGAGAATCTCGTAAATCTTTTTGAAGGTAATCAAAAGGGTATAATTCCCGATGTCGTTTATTTAGTCGAACTTGAGCTCGCGCTTGCACATAGGACATTTGTCGCTGGTCTTCAGGCATTGTCGCAGGCAGTCCGCGTGGAAGAGATGATGGCAGGGTGTCACCCTGGCCTTCGTCATACCGCACAGACACACCGCACACACGTCATCAAACCTTTCGATCTCCTCAAGGGTCGCCTTCCTGTAGCGATTTAACACTTCACGTTCTCGTCGCAGCACCGCGCCTGAATTCTCCATCAGTTCCTTCCATCGCAAGTACACGTTCAAATACGTGGCAACCAATAGGAATCTCCAAGAGGCCGATGGCAATAGCAGAATGCTGAAGATCGTCGACATGGCGATCGTAAAGCAGCGGAGTATCACCGGCGCGTACAGATTTTCGATGTTCTCCAACGCTTCTAGCTGTAAGAAACCCAGAATCGTTGGAAACATCTCGACGAAGACCTTCTCCGTCGCCCAATAATAAATCCATGTAATCACCGTATAGATCAATGAAGGTCTGCAAATTGATAAGATGTCAAATTAAAGGGATGGAAAAGAAATATAGAACAGAAATTGATTATATTTATAAATCGAAATTGTTAATTTTTTTAGAAACAAAATATTAATAAAGAAATTACTATCTCATGGATCCATAAAGAATATAAAATGTTTAAATAAAATTTAACAATAAACTGAATATTAAACCTTCTAATCAATATATAATATAAGTACACGAGTTGAATTAAAAATAGTAAAAATTTGAATATTTTTACTTTTCTACAGCAAAATTTGTATATTTTTGTGCTAAGACTAGGAATGCACCGGATCGTAAAATTACCGGATACCAGATATCGGATATCCGGACAAAATGTAACATCGGATATCCGGTATCCGATCAGATATTCGACTGGATTCCGGGAAAATGTCTTAAAAAAAAGCCTATACAGAAAAAATTGTAATTTTGCAACAATGTATAAGATATTATAATATTATGAATATGCATACTTATTTTTAGAACATTTGTATAATAAAAAATCAAGAATTTAATGATATCAAATTTCAATCGGATATATTTCCGAATACTAATGATATTCGACTATCCGATCGGATAGAAAAAAAAGTGCCGGATAATACCGGATACCAGATACTTTCCGGATATTCGGTGCGTCCCTAGCTAAGACTTTGTTATAACGCTTCAAATCCTCACCCTTTGAACAACATTAAGAACAAATTTGTACAGACTTTAGCTTCTATTTTGTAACTTTTAATAGCCTTAACGATAATAATATTATTACGATTTTATACATGGTAAAAAAATTGCGTAATAATTAACAATTAACGATATCAACACTTACTACTCAGTTAAGACTTATAGTGACTTCGTTTTTACTTTTACATTTTCTGTAGGAATCTTGCGAAAAAATGTATTGATTGAGAAGAATCAATTGTGCGTACGACAAGCAAAGGAACAATTGTAATAGATATTCTTAATTATTATACATATTATAAACCATGCAAGTCGAGCTAACGCTAAATATTCATAGAAAGTTCAATTCGTATTACCAATGTACCGAATGTTCCAGAACAGTAAAAGAATCGTCACATAATATGCAAATGTCGATGAAATGTTCAGAATATTGTGTGAATATTCCTTGTATATTTCACGAAAATCGCTAACAAGCGAGTAGTACACATCTCCGCCGGCAGAAGACCGCGGCGAAGAGCATTTACTCGTAAACAAAAATCACCTGAGAGAGAATATAAGGAGAGCAGCACTTTGTGAAGTGAATCCAAAATTGGGCTCCAAGGTGAAAACACATTAAATATGTTTTCCAAAGTAAA